GGACGGACGGACGGACGGACGGACGGGCGGACGGACGGACGGACGGACGGACGGACGGACGGCTTGAAAAACAACCACAACGCTTTTTTTGTATCTTCAACTTGGAGACTTGGAGATTCAACACGTGTATTTCCGTTGAAATCTGGAAATCGATTTTCCGCAGCATTACATAACTTTTTCTATAATACGTGTATATCTCCGTATATACGTAAGTGTATATTACGGAAAAGTAAAAAGGTAGAAAATTTTTATTTACTTAGAAAACGGTAAATGAAAAGCTATAATATTGTTCCCATACAAGAAAGAAATGATGGAATTATCTACTGTTTATTTTTCCAATTGTTACTCTCAATTATTTTTATACGATTCGATCGGGAATCGCTATCTCCAGTTCAAAAATTTATGTTATTGTGAATTGTAACAATTGTGAATATGTTTGAAATAGAATAAATTTTGCCTCTCAAATTTGTTTTTTGGGAATTTTATACATTCAGTATACGTTACCAATTGTGGGTTATCTCGTATCTCTAGCTAAGGAAAACGCCTCTTTCAGGAAAAAATATCAAATATTTAGTTTAATATTATTTGGTCTGCAAGTATTTAAAAATTGAAGATTCAGTTTGAATTAAAAATAGAAGATAAAATATGAATTTTAAAGAAATTCTACTCCGTGTTAAATTGAATGCAAGGGTCAAACACAACTGTATCAATTACAGCTCTTTTTGCCTCATACCTACTGTTTGAAAATCACAATAGTTCCCCAATTCGGCATCTGTCATATTCTACTCAGTCGGATTGTCGAACGTATATATGCATAACTAGAACTTCATAAAACCTATTCCAAAGACCACTATGTGATTAGAGCTGCCAACGAAATTTCTTCGACGCCTGTTGTACAATTTATGTTTCGTCTATTTACTTTATGACATTGTGAGAAATAACTGTTTGATAAAATGAGATGAAGATGGAGATTGCGTAAGAGTGTGGTGGTGAGATGTCATTAACCGATGAAGAAATGGCAGGTTTCAATATTCTCCTTTATGAACAAAAACGTACATTAAAAAAAGACGGATCGCATGTAAGCGTTACTTGTAGTGTCTAGTGAAATAAGCTTATTTTCTAGCGGCATTTCCAAACCGTCAATTACCCCCGAAGCCGCAAGTCCTTTGTTGGGGAACGCGTGACGGCACATTGTTGCATGGCGGACGCGTCAATCCTTCGGCCGCCCCGTGACGGGAGCGGAGGCTAATGGCGGGTGGGCGTCGCCGATCGGTGTCCGTCTGGCCGTCGGTGGTGATTGATCGGCCTCCGCCGCGTGCTGGGCCGCGCAGCGCAGTCAGTGGGGCGATGGGCGCCGAGGCAGGTCTGGTGCTGCTGCTCGCGCTGGCATCAGCGACGGCGACAGCGCGGGCGGGGTCCGCCAACTCGACCGTCGCCGCCAACCACACGGAGCCGCCTGTAAGGACAGAGTTATGAAAATATTTTCGAACGTTTTTCCCTCATGTATCGTTTGGTTTGAAAAAGTGGAAAAAGGTTGCGAGAATCAAGTGTCTCATTGTTTCCTAATTTAAAAAAAATGTTATGAGATATAGCGGCGTAAAATTTACTGTCAAAATCGAAAAAAAAATGATTCCCTGGTTTCACTATAATGAGACTGGAGAGAGTCGAAGTAAAACTGCAGAGCACCAGTGACAATCTTCAATCGTATTCTCCTTTTCTCGGTGACCGTCATTTCACACATATTATAGCTAAAGACGATTCAGGAAATATTTAAAGTTAATACTGGAAACGAAGTATAGAAACATTTTCCTAAACACTTTACCTTTTTCTTCTGATGCATTAAAAAAGTTTCATTATTTCGAAATAAAAAAAATCAAACGAATTAGAAGCATCGATTCAGAAAGTGCTGTACATTAGCAGAAAAGCTATCAGAGCATTCGCCCGTAGTGATTCACAGCCTGTTTCAATCTGTTTATCTATTCAATTATGTTGTCGTGCTAAAAGAGAGCTCAAAAAGAAAAAAAAAAATCTACATTTCTAATAGGTTTGAAATTGTCAGAAAACGTCCGAGGATAAAATATTCGTGATGACACTGAGAATGATTTCTGATAATGCTGAGGAAACACTGGGAATATTACTGAGACGGGTTCCTGATTCTTCTTGGAAATCAATTGTGAAGCTCCCTCTTAAACTATTTGCCATTTTACCACAGAAAATAAATAAGGGTGTAGAAAATACATCGAAACTGCCATGTATTTTGGTTAAAATATTTATGAAATTATTTTCGTTACTATTCGGAAAACCTTTTTCGTGAGATAAAAAATATTTTAATATTAACATAACTTTTCCTAATGGTCTCTCAAATGTATTGTCTGGCAATTGTGTTAGGCAAACAGTTTGTTGAGTCGAAGTTTGAAACATTGATGTATTGAAGTCGATGATTTATAAACGTCGATGTTTTTTCGTTTTCGATGTTTTGTTCGTGAATGAAAATGCTCGCAATCACAAATTTGTAAAAATTAAAATACGAAATAGAGACTGATGATACCTGTGTTTGTGTTCGAACGAACCGAATGCGGTTTGTATTACCTTGGAATAAACTACTTTCCGTCACCGAGATGATTTTAATGCCCTGATACTTCTTTCTTTCACGTATTTTGCACTTGGAGAAGTGTTTTCTACTTTGTTTTCAAATAAATTTTAATTATAAATGATTGTGCTCGATAACGGTTAAATTATATTTTTCTGCGCACAAATTTAAGGTTAGATAGATATAGATTTATTATTTCTGCAGATAGGTATACATGGTGGCAGAACACTACAATTTGCATATTACAACTAAAAATGGTAATAAACTAATTTTAAAGCATTTTAAGTCAATAATAACAATAATATAACAATAATAACAATAACAGCATTACCTATACACTTTGACTGACCTGCACGGAATTTTTAACTAATATATACACTGCACTTCACTTCACTACACAACACTTCACTTCTCTCTCTACTTCTCTATTGCACTACACATCACAACACGTCCCGACACTCCACTACTACTTTAAATATAATTGTATATTTAATAAACCAATGCATTTAATAGTGATTATCACAATTCTACTAATAATAACAACAACAAATAACAATTATAGAAAATTATAACTAAAATAATAACTATTTTAATAAGCCTAACTTATAGAAATGTCCTTAGTTAATCTACTATTAAAACTTTTTACGCCTAGAGGAAAGGGTTCCATGGCTGCCGCAGGTAACTTATTCCAGGTTAGAGGACATTAAGGCAACTATAAAACATCAATAATTTTTGGACTATACATTTTTAACATCGATGTTTTAATTTTGAACGTGGTTGTTTGGCAACCGATGTTTCGTCGCCGATGTCGCATCCCCCGTGCGCGTGCGCAGGCGGCGGAGGACGACTGGAGGACGCGGCCGGAGCTGGTGGCGCGGCTGCGCGACCTCTTGGAGCTGTGCACGGCGTCGGCGCCGCCCTCCGCCTCCAACCGCAGCGCCAACGCCACCCGCGCCGACGCCCGCGCCCGCGCCCGCGCCCGCGCCGCTCGCACGGCCAAGGTACTCGTAGCAGCGCGCGCGCCTGGCCGGAAGCCGTAAATGCACAAGCGCCACGGACACAGATGCACATGTGATAGCGACGTATTCTTATAGAAAATTGAAGACACTACCATTAATCAGCCACTTTCTACACATTGGGTTTAGGTAAAATAGTAATAGAAATAATAACGAAGGGGCAGTTAGATTTCATCTCAAAAACTAACAACTTAAACTAAAATTAACTCATTTCGGGAGTTAATAACTGTTGGGTGGTGAGATTGCGAGCTTCTTATGTACTGGCGTACAGCATGTAATGTCCCTTTATTTCCTTTATATTAATTACCTTATGTAGCAGAAACCTAAACATAATTTGCAATTTTACTGTGACAAATTGTTATTAAACATAATATAGACTAAAATTAACTTCATTCAATTAATTATGGAAATATGAATAAGAATTTGTCATATCAAGTGTTGTACTTGTTATATCAATTTTCAAGTATTTACAATTTACAAATGTTCGACTGCATCTGTTATAGCGACGTATTCTTATAGAAAATTGAAGACACCACCATTAATCAGCCACCATCAATAATAGCATAGGGGCATTTAGATTTCATCTCAAAAACTAACAACTAAAACTAAAAACAAATTCTAAAATAAAATAAACAATATAGGAATGACATTCGCGGAGAGTAAATGCTTTAATTCAAAGAAACTTGCTAAGGGGCAGACGCCAAAGAGATACATTTCTAAAACGCTATGTGGTCAGTTTTCTGCATTGTATGCTGAAAATACTAGAAGCCAATGGACATACAAAAATTCCCCGCTCCTGGATTTCTCGCAGCTGGAGGCGACCAACTCTACCAACAGTTCGTGGAGCGCGTGGGAGAGCCAGGAGGCTGTGGGCGTGGGCGTGAGCGAGGGCAGCGTCCTGCAGCCGCCCGGTGAGGCAGAGGAGGCGGCGGCGGCGGCGAGCGGCAGCGCGGAGGCGGCGCTGGCCTTCGACCTGGGGCTGTGCACGCCCACCCTCCACCGCGCGCCCGACGGCGACACCGGCGCCGGAGGCCGGCGACAGGTGCCTCGGCGGCAGCGCCCGCGCGCGCTCTCCAGCGGCCTTGCACGCTTCCCGCGCTGCGCCACCCGCAGGTTGCACTTCGCTTCTATGCCAAGCGAGACGCCACCCCCGTGCGACGTCAGCCGCTGGCCAGGCGCTCGAGCCGGCTGCAGGTTGCACTTCGCTTCTATGTCAAGCGAGACGCCACCCCCGTTTGACGTCACGCCCTCGGACAGGCTGTAGATTGCACTTCGCTACTATGCAAAGCGAGACACCACCCCCGTGTGACGTCACGCCCTCGGACAAGCTGTAGATTGCACTTCGCTACTATGCAAAGCGAGACGCCCCCTCCCGTGCAGCGTCAGCCGCCGGCCAGGCGCTCGAGCCGACTGCAGGTTGCACTTCGTTACTATGCAAAGCGAGACACCTCCTCCCGTGCGACGTCAGCCGCTGGCCAAGCGCTCGAGTCGGCTGCAGGTTGCACTTCGCTACTATACAAAGCGAGAGTTTTTTTAAGTCTTTTCATATTTATTAATGTGAAGTTTTCTATTTACATGTATACGTAGTCCCCTCCTCCCCCAGTCTCGTTGGCGTCACTCACTTGGTTATGATTTAGCGAATAAATACAAAATTGTGCTACTTATCGCAAATTGGTTTAGTTGTTACACTAACAAGTACATGTTCTTAGAAGAGTCAGAATCAGAATGGTGTTAAATTAAATTCGAACGTAGCCAGAATATCGAGTGGAATTAAAATGCGAACGTCTCAAATCCAAAGCCTGTGTGCTGCCGGCGATGCGATACCAAGTATTAAAAATTTCATTATAAAACAAGCAAGAAAATGTTGGGAAACCAATTGGAATTCTCCTTTGGACTCACACTGTAGAGTGTTTGGGTAATAGAAAAGTGTAAAATTCTCTACGAAATTACGAATTTCCTCCGTGAATTGATGTTCTTTGGAAATGTATACTTGTTAGATAAAATTTCATATTTAAATTTCGATTTTGTAAATGATTTTGTACTACACTTAATAAAAGAGATAATTAATGTTTTATACGAATAAGCATACTAAAAACAGGAAATTACTTCACCTTCGGTAAAAATATAAACATTAAAATATAACAACTTTTGTGGTACCACAATTTCACAATAACTATATCTGGATATAATAGATTGTATTTCATTTTTCGACGATTGTGAGCTTCCTAGTTTCAGGTGGTCAATTCGGCATCCCATGAAAACAGTTTCAAGTGGAATTATGAATTTGTAGTGATCGTGTTATTCGACCAAATGACAGTGCACCCCCACCCGCTGCAATGCTTTACTTAGGTTATTTGTTTAAACATTGAGACTTCCATTGCTTCTTAAAAATGAATCTGAAATACTATGAAGAAAGTAATTTGCAAATATGGCAAACACATGTGAAAAAAGATAATAGTACGTTGTACTATGATAAAAAATTGTTAAAACACATTTATTCAGGGATCTGCATCCTACTGATATCTGACAATTGACTACGCAAATATTTCTTTCTAAAAAATATTAGTATGGGTAAGAGAAGATATTTAGCCGACATAGCATTCCTACGAATTTGGATCCACGCTTCTATTTTTTCCATCTTTTTAATGATTTGAATGAATCCGTGTTAGGCAAGTTCTTATTATGCAAAGCTTCCCCTAATTTAATCAAAACATCTAAATATATTTTGACAATATACAATTTACTTTGTTAATATAATTTACTTCACTATGATGCAATGACGTAATGCAATTTACTTCGCTATGGTGCAAAATTATGAATATAATTGTTTTTTGGCGATCATAATCTTCCGAATGATAGAAGTAAAACTTTGGCTGTTCATTGAAACATATTCCACCGCAGGTAAATAATGAGTGAATTTTAGGATATGGTAAGATGTAACGCGCTTCTGTAACCGCAGGGTTCCAGTGGCCGCAAGGGCCGCCGGCGCAGTGGGCGAGGCATGCACACCGGGCGCGCGTATCTCGAAGAGGACCGCCCTCTCAGCGAAGGCAGCGGGCGTGGATCTTCCGGTGTTTCTGGGTTCAAGAAGAGTGGCTTCAACGATGGAAATACGAGAAGTTATGGATCTTCATCCAATCCTCACCCGAACGGGGCCTACGACGGAAGGTACAGCGCTTCTCGGGATGACGTGGGCGATGGCTCGCAAACGTCCGGACGAGAAGCAGCACCTACCAGTTGGATTGCGGCCAGTTACGACGGCGGTTGGGGCGGCGCACGCGGGGGGGGGCGGGCGGTGGGGAGGCCAGTGGGCGAGGAGCGGAGGCGCGCCTTTGAGGAAACGGAGACAGGGACTTTGGATTTCGCGGCCAAGGAGGCGTATTGCACAGCGGCGGGTTCGAACTCGGATATTCCTCACACGCCAGTGGATTTTCGGATAGCAGTTTTGGAGGGGACGGGTATGGAGGGGGGAACTATGGATCTACCTATGGAAACCGAGGATATCCAAGTTCTGGGCAAGGAGGAAGGAACGGGTACAGTGAATACGGAGGTAGAGGCAACAGAAATAGAGGTTTTGATCATGCAGATTGGGGAGGTGGCGGAACAAGGAAAAGAGGAGGTAATGGAGGTAGTAATTCTCGAGATGGTTCTTATGGAAGTGGAAGTGGAAGTCGGAGAGGAGGCAGAAGACATGGTTATAACGATGACGACTACGGAGACGATTCTCAAGAAGACGAGAATTCAGAATATGATGAGGATTCAGATGAAGACGATTCAGAAGGAAGTTCCAAGAACGGTGGGAGCGGGAAGGGGGGAGGCCGAGGGGACAGGAACAGGAATTCGCGTAGAGGGGACCACCGACAGGGAAGTCGCGGGAGGAACAATCGGCGAAGCCAAGATTGGAGGTAAGTGCGCTATTGAAATTTCATAAAGGATAATTTTGGAACCTGTTTTCACATATTTGCGCCATTTAAATGTAAGGAGATCATACTTTAACTGTATAGAAGGTGGCCTACCACATAGTTTACAAAAAAGTCATGATACTCGGTATTTCTATTACTACAAACTAGAAGAATGAAATGCCAAAATGTTAATATTATGTTAATAAAATGCTAATATTTTCATATGAAGCAATCTTTTATCTTTCATATATATAATAGATTAAAAAGATATATAATGTTTTAAACGATGTATGATGTGCTGTTTGTGATTTCAAGAACTTATTGTTGTATCATAACCTGTAAAATTTTAATTATATTTCAAAATATGTAAAATTTTCTAGCTATTTCGTTAATGCGTGAAGTTAATGATTTGGCTGATGAACAATCCGAGTTTATTTTTTAACGATGAGAGAACTTCTTAATACTGTATTCCCGCTTCCAGGCTCTTGCTCCGGTTTAGTTCAATTTGTTCAAGATCAGATGCTTCGAATAACAAGAGTCTTGTTTGTAATTCATCTCCTCGCCAGATAAGGGTCTCTACTTCTGAAAATCTCAACGTGTGTATCTAGTAATAAAATTGTAAGAGAGGAGTCCGATGTTAAGGCGTATGCTTTGCGTCAAGGGACGGCCGCGGCCTGCTGGCAGCCACTGACCCGGACGCCGCGCAGGACGACGAGGGCTCGCGGGAGGGCGCCGGGGAGCGCGGGCGCCGGGCGCGCAGGCCCCGTGACGCGCCCTCCAGGGGCAAGCAGCACGGCCGCCCGGTGAGAGCGCCGGCGCCGCCCGCCCGAGGGGTTTGCGCGCATAACGAGCGATGCTACTCACACTCAAGCATCTGTATTGGGACAGTTGCAACACGTTTGCTCTCTATTGTGACGGTTGCAACACGTTTGCTCTCTATTGTGACGGTTGCAACACGTTTGCTCTCTTTTGTGACGGTTGCAACACGTTTGCTCTCTTTTGTGACGGTTGCAACACGTCTGCTCTCTATTGTGACAGTTGCAACACGTTTGCTCTCTTTTGGTACAGTTGCAATACGTTTTCATGAAACTCACATTTTGCCCTTCGAATACGTTTTGATTCTGTTGCTTTTTCGACAGGGGCTGTCGATTTCGACTATCCGCACCTGGAACCCGCTACGTCTCTCATGGGGATACGTGTTACCTTTGTATGCGACAGTAGACACACTTGCGGGCTTCTCGGTCACACACACACACACACACACATGAAAGAGAAGGGACAAACAACCATGTCCAATGCGGGTCTCGTACCTACGACCCTTCAGACGGTGGCGCTGAGCCGGCACACGCTCTAGCCACCTCGGCCATCTTGACCATCCAGGTCGGCCCCTCCGAATGCGTTGAGTATCGTTAATATGTTTCCAGAAGAAAAGTACAGTGGAGAGAAATACTTAAATAATTTATGTTATTTTTGAACCTTTTAACACTTTTGGAGATTAAGCATTTCCAGACACTTTTCCGTAGCATGGGTCAGATACGAGCAGTAACTCGAAATCTACACGAAATGAAATTAAAAGAATAGAGACCGAAATAATATGCAACGATACAATTAGTGTCTATTGTATGTAAATTTTATTTTCAACGCTTAACTATTGAATTGTTAACTCACCAACAATACAGATGTTTAATGTAATAACTCACAGTTCACAGGGTGGCCATATTCACGTACTACAACACAATGCATGGTTTTCGTTTGTAATTTTGTAGACTGCGAATGTTGTTAACTGATGCCGCGCTTCTTTTTTTCCAACCCTGCTCGCCCTGACTTGCGTGCACGTCGGTGCGATGTGTTGCAGTGCGCGGTGAAGTGCGCGCTCACCCACTTGGGCGTGGTAAGCATACGATTACATGCGATACATTTTTTGTGCGAATGAAAAGTGCCGTAATCACAATTTTGTAAAAGGTAAAATATGAAATAAGATACCATCCAGTTATGCGGCATCCGCGTATTAGTTTCCTTTCTTCCCGAACCAGTGTACGGAGAAACGAGGCGTCTCTGACCCCTGTGAGAGGACTTTCATTGCTCAGGCTTTCAGGCTCAGTTTTTTAAGTTACGTTACTAATTTTTACCTTTGTTTTGTCTGTTAAATCTTAATTATCAATTAATAATCCCGGTCACTGTCAATTTAAATCTTGCTCCGTGCGAATATTTGATGTTGGTAGGTTACCATGTTTGGTAACTAACGAATCTTTCCCGAAGAAACGTACAGAGGAGAGTAGTATTTAACAAATATAAGTAATGTTAGGGAGTAATATTGGGGTTTAAAGTAATAATGGGGAGTAATATTTAAATAAATTAAGAACCTTCTATTGTTTTGGAGACGTAGCTTTTATAGTATTCCGTAGCAAGGGTCAGATACGAGCAGTAACTCTAAATCTACGTAAAATAAAATGGAAGAAATAGAGCCAGAAATTTAATTTAATTCTCTTGAACTAAAAAGTAGATGGATTAGAGCGAATGTTTGAATGTTGAACCTGTGTGCTGCGCCAGGTGGACGCGCTGGGCTTCCCGTGCGAGGCCGCCCTCCGCCGCCTGCTGCTGCGCCTGCTGGGCTCGCAGGCGGGCTCCCACGCCGCCAGGGCCGCCACGCGCTGCTTGCTGGACCTCAGCGCAGGTACAGAAAGTCTCCACGCTGCTGTCAGCCCGCATCCCAAAGAACTGGGTTGTGAAGCGTGCAAGGAGGAGATTCAACTCTGATGGTGGAGATATGTACGAAAAGCATTGGCAGCTAATCGGGACTCCTGAGCTTCAGAAGCATCACGCGGTCAATGGGAGAATCTTTGGAAGCATTTTCGTCCAATGACCACAAAGCTCATGTGTCGCGTCAACGTCATATGCACTTAAACACAATAAAGTGAAAGTAATAAAGTGTAACTACAACAAAGCAATAAAGTGTAGATGACGTTGGTCAAAAACATGTGTTTTCACGTCGTTATTGACCAAAAAAGTACAGTTACAGTAAGTATCTTCATTCACTGCGTTTAGGTGTGCTGACGTTTAGGTGTGCCGATTAGCTGCCAACGATTTTCGATCATATCCCTACCATACCTCCAACATCAAAGTAAGGTCTCTCTCTTACAGCCTTCATGATAGTGGGTAGCGTGGCCGGGAAAATGGGGCATCGCCGGTGCCTCTTCCTCTTCTCACTTTTCTCCCATTTTCCCTCTGCGGCTTCCCCTCCGTAAACCCTCTACGAATCGTCTTCCCAGAAATGAGCTCGAAGTTTTGCACGTTCCCCTCAGGGCAATCCGTGTTCAAGCGGCTGCTCTGGGCGCTGGACATAGGATCATAGTTTTGGGCAAGCCATTCATTATTATTATTATTATTGTTATTATTATTATTATTATTATTATTATTATTATTATTGGTGTTAGTATTATTAATATTAACTCGAATTTTGCCTTAACACAAATAAAACTTCGGTCCCGGCAAGAGATTATGGTAATACGAACATTTATAATACTCGAATAACGCGAATTATTATAACACGAACTCCGATTACTTCGGTCCCTAGGAATTCGTGTTAATGTGGATTTACTGTATAATTATCGTTCATCATTTTATATATTTATATATTCATAATATTTTCATTAAGAAATAATTGCATTATTATTAAAGAGATGTAAAAGTTATTTTGATTGTTGCACTAAGTGAAATGCTTCACTGTCACTCTTCACCATAGAGATCGTGACAATCCAAAATAAACTGAGAGGAGTTAAACTTTCTTTTTGGTTCGAATGCAACATTCTACTAGAACTAATCACTAGCAGACTTGACAATCACATAATAATGAACCAGCATTTACATAAGCGTGTTCATATGAAATTAAGTCTTACTTATATTACGAGAAGAAGATTACTTTTGCTAACGCTCACCGTCATTTTATGGTTTCTTGAGCTCCTTTGCATAAACGAAAGTTGTTAGGAGAAACTTGGTTGGAACTAACGATCCTTCAAATGTCTATCCTTTGATAGATTAGATGAAATTCAAATATTTTGATGGCTTATTTAAATGATCCTTTAACATGAACCTAAGGAGAATGTCAGTATTTTATTGTGTATCTTATATATATCTTGATCTATTCAGTCAACGTAGTGTGAAATGATCAGTAGGAGATTTGCAAAAATATGAGTATTAACATGTGAACTAGCTATCTGTGTAGGTCTTTTGAGTCCATGAGAGGCTTTTGAGTCTGTGTGAGAAGATCGATATTTTCTATCAAATTTTCATATTACACCGCAGCGTAGTGCGTGCTCAGATTCCTCAAATTATTTCGTTCCTGTGTTGGTTCTGAAATGCATTTCTTTCTTCGCCTGATCTTAGTTGCAATTTAATTCTTATGAAAACCTTAGAGATTATAATGTTAGTTTTTCGGCAAATACTGATACTCTTTTACGAAACGCCTACATTATCTAATTTTATTATATTACTTTCTATAATTTCCTTTCCATTTCAGGTTTTGGATTTTGAGGATTTTGAGAAGTGCTCTGTTTTCAGATCTCATTTGAAGTATTTGTGATTACTGGTTCTTTGTTGCTTTAATACGCTTTTTCTGCGGTACTTACAAGATCACGATTACTTCGCGAAGCGTTGAAGTTTAATGAAGCATTCAGAATTAGTTCGAGATTTTTGGCTCAAAGAAGACGACACTGTGGGAATAATTACATTGCAGTTTCAATTGGTTTTTACAGTCTTTGAAAAGATGAATGAATTATTTGTTTTTTCCCTCCAGAAAGCTATTATCGAGAAGATTTTTTTGAAAAACGTTTGCTTTTTCCATTTTAGTTCAGGCTTTACGCTAAGTTTTGACTACTTATAAACACTTATAGGTCTTATGGTGAAATTTCTACTCATGTCCAATTTAGAAAGCGAAATTGCCGTCCTAAAATTTTTTAGTTTGTGCAGAAAGCGTAATATATTCGATTTAATTATCTAACTGATCTACGACATTTGAGTGGTGTCATAGAGATATAATAAAGAAGCAAAATATCAAAACATGTTTATTAATGACCATTTAAATCATTTATGTCTGCATTAATTTATATATTTTTTATTATCGTCGTCCTTTCTGTTTTGTGTTGAAGTTCATTTTAGAAGTGACTTATAGATCTCATTGTAACCTTCTCGTATGTGCTGTTGATGTTCCTGGTGACCATCCACTTTTTTGTGTATATTGGAACAGTATACACAAGTGTGGGGTTATGCGAAGTCTTGGTGTTTCAAAATAACATTTAAGAGAAAGTGTTGTATGTTGAAATAGATATGAAATTTCAAACATTAGATTTTCAAGTGGAATATCGCCAAATGGTACCTAAATGAATCATTTTACTTGTGATATAAAGTCGAACGAATATCTCAACTCCCTAATGTGAGACTTAAGTGGTACTCCAAACGATTCAATGTTATGAGCATTGAATTGTTGACTTCTTTCGTTTCACCGAACCATCGAATAGCAGAAGCCACCAGACTACTTAAGATCAAGATAAGCATCACACATTAATCGTATCTTACTCTTCAAATAGCTATTGTTAATGCACCATTTAATTATTAAGAGTTCTTTTATGCTGTTTTCGCGAAGATGTTTGATTATATAAAAAAATCTTAGAAAATATTTTACCGCATGGCAATTTTGGAAAGGAATGTGTAACCTCAAAAATATCAGTCACACTCTATTATGACATTCGTTAATATTGTAGGTTCTAATGGATGATTATATTAAAATTTAGTTAATCATTAAATTCGAAAGTTCACTATCCAATGTTCAAAGCCCGATTTACACTTTTCATAAGAAGATTGTGACAAATTTGTCAATTAGGTGCATTTGTGTGTTAAAAAATTCAACCAGAAATATTTAACGAGTCGGGATGCGTAAGTATAGAGCAGAAACTGGTAGAGTTACATGATGTCACAGATATTATCGTTTTAATTAGTCTTCTAATACCTTCGACATCTAAAAGACAACCAGGGATTCTCACGATACCTACCACTCCTCTCGGTGAAGAGCACCATCGCGCTCCACCGAACATCGCATAGGCCTATCTCGGCTCTGTCTCTCTACATATGTGCTCATGGTATATCTTGGCCCCTACTCGATGCTTGTACGTTCTGGATGTGAGACCTAGTTCCTCAATTAAACACGCAGACTATACACACTGCCCTGTCGGACCCAAGATATTGTGGAGGGTATGTGTGTTATAAAGGCATGCATGAGGGATTTGAAATGCTTTCCTTCATGCCTCAAACACAACTGTTAACGTTCACGTCTTACGTGGTTTTCGAACCCACATCCTTAGTGTCCACATACTTCGGCTTACCTGTTCCAAATCCCTGTCTAATGAGACTGAATCACTTGGCTGTACTAATTGGAAACGCATTACATATGTGTAACATAACGATTTGATAAATGTAATAATGTAATAAAAACTCACCTTTTTTATCAAAATGCGGCCTTAAATATGCATTGTTAAGAGAATTTCATTTTGTAAAAAAATCCTGGGAATGTTTTAAGCGCTTTTGTTCACGGATTGACGGCTTGTTAAAAAAAAACTGTATGAGAAAGATTGGATTCTACCAATTTCCATTCGCACCTGAAGTAGGTCATTTTTTGTTATCCATTAAAATAAGACGAATGACAAGACCGCGTTACCGCGAAAAAAAATACTTCTCGCATGGAAATATAACAGACGTTTTAATCAGACGTATCCCTTAGTAAAGCTTCCACATTCATGGCTGAATGCAGTATATTGCTATTTCCCCAAATATTAAATCCGTTATCCCAATACAAAATTACAAACTTTTTCAAATATTATAATTTTTAAACAGTTGTAGAAAAAATGCATATTTCGTGAGCGAAGAGGTGTTTTTTTATGGTCAAGAAGTTGATTCGTTCGAAGTTAAAGTCATCATGAAAATTGGTTTGCAAAATTCATACATTTAAATATTAGGTTACTCTGTGGGTTGTGTTGTACCGACTTGGGGTATTGTATTAAGTAAAGTAATTAGTCTTATTTATCTTAAAATTATGAACGTTCTATACGTATCTGCATCAGCGAATGCACGGATATATCTAATATTTGATACCACCGTTTATGTTTGCCTTATAAGAAAGAATATAATTTTGTATATTCCGAGGCGATTAAAAATTCGTGCCTAAAGAAATCTTAGGCTGACGAACCGTTCACCTGCCTACCCTTAGTCCAACCCCCCGCACGCAACGCGCCTTGGGGCGCCAGGCCCCGTGCCGACGCGTGGCTGTGTGTTGGCAGCGGTGGACGAGGACCCCTGCGAGGTGGCGGACCGCCTGCTGGCGTGCCTGCTCATCGACGTGGACGCCCTGCTTCGCGAGCCGCAGCCGCACGCCACCACGCTGCCGCCGCTCTGAGCCAGTGGGGCCACTAATCAAACACCAGCGTTTGCACATGATGTGTGTATTTATAGAAATGTACAACATACAAAAGACAACAAATATAACAAGTATAAAAATCAACACGTTTTGTTCATGTCCATGTCCAGTAGATCGCGTTGCCGCGGAGGAGAGGCTGAGCTCTGGTGAGGGGCGTGCGTGTTTTACAGAGCGCGGGGAGGCAAATTGTCTTGAATTTTCTTTTTAAACTCCGAAACGGAGAGGCAGCTTTTAAAGTATTTTAAAACTGGAGATCGCAGAGTATGTTTGTTATAATATGCGACATTTTTACTAGATCGTTGAGACGTAACATATATAAAATACATAAATATATAATAAATATGATAGACAAGAATAATCTACGAGAGTTTCACTATGTCGAATGAAATAAGTACTTTTTGGTTTTAGCATTTGGCAACATTATAACAGCACTATAGTCTTACGATCTTTTTTCTAATGATCTTCTGGGATTTAATTATTTTATGTTTGGTAGTGTGAATTTGGATAGTAATGGATTTGTCGAATATTCGCCCAAGCGGAATTGTCCCAATCGTTTAGAAGAAACAAACAATTCATACGAATGAAAGTATTCACTTGAAAACGAATGTTCAGCCTCTACCTGATAAAATATTTTAGTAATTTGAATCCCTTTCCCCACGCCTCAGAATCTGTAGTAAACATCACGCTCCTCGTCAGAGAACAGGGCGCCGTGTGTCAGACACGAGTGCCGCTGCGTCCTCAGTCTCTCCTAGGCGAGCGCCGTTGGAACCGTCGCGCCAGCGTTTTCACTCCACACGCACTCGGAGGCGACGGCGGCAGCGGCGAATTCGCAAAGTCCTTGTGTGTCATCAGCCTGGACCACGGCATCCGCTGCTCCGCACCGCACCGCACCGCACCGCACCGCACCGCACCGCACCGCCCCGCACCGCTCCGCTCCGCACCGCACGTCCCCGCACCGGGCCGCGCCGCGCCGTGTTGGCCCACGCCGCGGGGAAAGCGACGGCGGCGATGGCGGCGGTAGCGGCGGTGGCAGTGGCGATGGCGGTGGTAGCGACGGCGGCGCTCTCGTTTTCCGAGGCAGCTCGTCCCGCGGTCAGTCACCGTGACGGGCTGCTGCGGATAAGCGCGAGAGAGGCGGTGGCGGTGACGGCGGCTAGCGGCGACCACGACGACGCGACGGCGTGTCTCCAACGCCGCTTTGTTTTCGGTTTCCCTTCGCCGCCGCCGCCGCCGCCTCCCTCGCCGCCCGCCGCGCTCTGCTTAGGCGATGCTGTGCTTGCCGAAGTTGCCGTCGGCGTGGTAGCCGTGCTCGGGATCGGCCGAGTAGCTCACCACCTGCAGCTTGCCGTGCTTGTCGTAGAAGCCGTAGTGGCCCTTGACATGGCCGTGGGCGTCGCGCTCCTCGTAGCGGAACTGACGATTGTGTCTGAGAACAGGAAAAAAAATAAAAATAGACTGTTTTTATGTGGTGACACGGCGTCTGTTCGCACGTTGCATGTAAATGCTGCAGTATGTTCATGCATTTGTGTGGGCGTTACATTCACTAGCTTGTGGGGAGTAACGGTTGGCTGGCTCCAAACAATAATGTAGTAGGAGCTCTTATGCACCCGCAGTTTGTTCTCAACTTTGCGCACCCGGAGTAAGGCTTCACAAGTTTTTCATGAATAAGACTTTTCACTTTAGGCTCGCAGTGATGAGAGTGCACACTTATCTCGCCCATGAATTATTCTACGAGAATACGTTTCTCAAGAACAAACAAAACAATACCGATTACGAAGAACGCGAAGCAGTAACAAATAAAACAAAACACTTACATTTGTGTTACCCTTCATTATCAGTAAAAAAGGTTCGTATAGAAAAGTAATTTACTGTAATATACATTTATAATTAACCTTCTACAAATATTAATTTAACAGCAATATTTAATGTGAAATGCTTTGTAAAATATCCTACATATTTTTGATATTTAATTATTAATACTTCTAAATATAACAAAGCTGATATTTTCAACTCTTTATTTTTCCTTTCTGCATAATCAATTCTTTGATATGTATACTAGTTGTTCTTTGACGTGTGTAGTAGTTGATAAAAATGTAAATTATAACCGAAGCTATGAACGCCTTCTCAACATTTAGGTTCCAAATCAATGACCGGTACGTTATGATGGAAAGAAATATTAACGGAAACAAACTTGATTCCAACAGATTAAATATTATTTTATCCAATTTATTATATCGAACTATATATTTTAGTATTTATAATACGCTGTTTCCTTTTTTAAATTTATGGAAGTACACATTTGTTACCTTTGATTTCAAACATTTCCTCTGATTATACGAATTTTAAAGATGAAATTAGGAAACAAGTTTTGCGTACGATTTAGTTCAATGCATCGTATTCATTTAGAATACAGTGTTAACATTCACCTTCAACAATTACTGTAAATCGCAGAGACTGAAAGACAAATGTAACACAATATGTGTAAACATTTTAATACTATAATGAAGAAAGAATAAAATAACATGTAATATTAGATCTCATAAATTATTCATTTAACTAGTTAATTAATAGTTATTTTAATTACTTTCATGCTGTAATAATTGTACTTATTATTACGATATAATTAAGATATTTTAAAAACTATTATGAAAGTTTCAAGACGATTTTTTCACCAAATTTCAAGATTGCCGGTTACAACGTAGTAGCGGAAATTTGGAAAGAACTCGTGGAAAGGCTGTACAATGGCACATTGAAAATCCTCTTCGTTGGGTGGCGGGATAACCTTCCTGCTCGTTTTCCTGTCAAGATGTCTGTAACTGTGATTACAGGTGCATCGTCACGTACCGAAGCAGCTTTCTCAATGACGGTCCCTACCGGGTTTCTTATCCTTGCTTTTGGAGGACAGCGATTTCTATATTCAAGCGAGTAAGCTTCAGGCAGTAGTTAAATACGAGTACATTGAAGATAGATTGACATTTTGAACGGTCATTTGGTGCAAGTTTTGTTAAGAGTAATCCAGAATATTATTAAAATATTATTTTTGTTGTGATTGTGAATGTATATCTACTTTTCTATTTTGAAAATTATTTAATCCTCACGCATTCTCCAAGTATTTTTGAAATTATACGTCATATTTGTGCAAAACATTCTGAAACAGTTGTGAATTACATTTCGAATATTAAACCGAGAAAAAAGAGAAAGTTATTCGAATCAAGATATCTTTAATAGAACATCTTCATGATCTTCTGGTAGTTTTTCTGTTGCTCACATGAAGACTCGAATATATTACAAACACTTCGTGTTTGGAGTAACTAGTAAAATCACAGTTTTAATTAAAAATGATTCTTCGAAGACGTATAGTTTCTCTGACTCAAACAGGTAACCGACATTCGATTTCAGTGTGCGAACAGTGCGGTAATTTCGGAATTACTTTTCCAGAAGTTGGTGTCTCACAACTTAGAGAATTACCACTTTTGTATAACAACATTTATAATTGGAAATAGTTGTGTATTAACACATTGACAATAATCCATTAAAATGAAAATGTTTCAACTCGTATATCCCAACGATGCTTAAAGAAATCACTTTTGCTAGCTTTTTTAGTCCTAGTTTATGAATTCAGAAAATGGCATCACTCGTTGTGGTGTTATGTTCAGTACTGTTAAAAGAAATGTTTCATTGGACTTTTATTCTGCAGTGATATTTGTTTCTTGGCTCGAAAAAAACCAGGTACCCGCATAGATGACAACAAAAGAAAACGAATATTTAAAAAAAGACAAAATATTTAAAAAAGAATAAAAAATGAATGGAAAACATGAAGATATTATTTTTATATTGAAAATCGTGCGAGGTTTTGTCCAGGAACGGTACAGGTGTAATTCATCTGGAAAAGGAGAACGACTAACTTCTCGACATTGCAGAAAATCAACAGTTTTGAGAGAAGAGCACATTGCTGATTGAATGAGTTCCGAACATAAATACAAAATAAATTATTTCCACGCTTCAAAATTTCAATGTATATGACATTATTTTTTGTTAATAAGTTTTCAATTATTTATTAATAGAGTTGTAATATAATGATTAGTAACATGTCAATTAACTCCTTTCATTGACAGTGATGTAATATCATAATAATGCACCTTGCATTTGAGTGGCTCATGGCCCTATATATCCGTGGATACAGCTGTACCTCAACGGCTGCCGCTTTTGTGATAGTCTCAATTTAGAAGTTGAGGATAAATGAAACCATTTGATCATTACAGAGGATTTCGAGTACGTTAATACCGGTTTCGTGTATATTGGTGGTTCTCAATTCACACTGTTCGAACTTCCCCTTCATCTGGATATAATATGGCGTAATCTCCGAAGCAAAGAAGTGTCTACTCTCCGAATCTGGAGCTCCACATCAGTACTGCTTATGTGATCCACCCTGAATCCATTTGGTAGGCTCCAGCCAGCGTCTATAGAGGGCAACCGTTGTGGCCCGCTGCTCGTCGAGTCAGCTTCACGACAGAGGGGGGGGGAGAAGGCAAGGCTGTTGAAAGAGGGGGGAGGCATTGCAGAAAAAGGGGTAATGAGGGAAGGAAATTTCGACTTGAAATAATGTAGTCTAGTGAAAGGGGAGTGTCAATTTCACCCTAAATCTTGGATCTGAAAACTACCGGTCAGAGCAGCAGTTCGCTAGAATTTTTCTTTAGAAAGCGGCTCAATTCGACCTATTTCTCTAGTTAGTGTCACAAATCTTGCCATTGCCGGAACTCGAACAATAGGACCTTCCGGTCAGAGGCTCCGCAGCGTTCTTTTCATCTCCCCTTCGAAGTACCCCCTGAGGTGGCATACATTTATTTACTTAATCGGTTATACAGTAAGCTGCTGCTCTACGGCTTAAGCAGTTAAGATAGGAGGGAGGCAGTTTCTTAATAATTAACTAAAAATTACTTAATTTTAGCTTAAATTGAATTTATCAGTTATTGTGTGTCATTTTGGCATATCTAATTTGAACAAAATTATTATTATTTTATTATTATTATTATTATTATTTCTTCTTAATGCAAAGTAATGTTTTCTTAATACTATTTCTTGGTAACTTTTTTATGTATAATTTTTATTTCATTCACGCCTCAATGCCCATTTTATATACATACGTAACCATTGGCCACGTGACTCAAGGCGTCCGTGGCCCTGGGACTCACCCCTTGCCGGTGTCGTAGCCCCACTTGTAGGTGTGCGGGCCGTGCTGGCCGTGCATCTGGAACTCGACGCGGTCGTTGCCGCCGTGGCCGTGGCCCAGGCCGGCAGTGACGCCGGCGAAGCCGCTCTCAGCCGTCTCCTGCGCCAACGCACGCGACACGCGTTAGCACCACGCCACACCACGCACACGCACGCGCACGCGCGCGCCTCGTGACGCAATGTGCCGGAAATACAGGTGAGTTGCGCGCTGACGCCTGCCTTCAGCGACTTCAGTGGTGTTTTTTTTTGGTCGCAATTAAAGGCAACATTTTTTTTTAGTTTTAGTTTTCATTTGAGTATTGGAAATTATTAGGTGCATTAATTTTTCGATTTTACTCTTTTAAAACTAGAGAAGTAATGTAATTAAGGAAAGAAGAAACCGAAAGTTGAAACAAGTACGAGTTGTCCTTCTTTTTTCTGATAGTTAATTGATATTGATATTTCTTGACCACTATTTTGATATGCTTTAATTAATGTTAATGTTTAAGTAGAACGGAGATATTTGATATAAAATTGCCGCGAAAATATCTTAGAATGTAAATAATTGATGGAAATTAATATTATTCTCTCTGCATCCAAAAATTACACATTTTTTGGGCAAATACTCCGTAATTTAATGCTAACAAGTCATACATATACCGTGTGTAAAATCGAAGGACTTTTCGACCGCTTAATCTTAGAATTCTTTAGGACCATCTGCATGTCAATTCTAAAGAATTCTAAGATTAAGCGGTCGAGAAGTCCTGTGATAACTACCACTCAATTCTGATAACTACCACTCAGAATGGCCGGTAAACAATCTAATAGGACAACAATTTTAGAAATAAAGATGATATGACAAATATCGTATTGTAATTAAAATAATAAGCGATTTTCAAACAAATAATATCGATCCTATTAACCTAAAAGCTCGAACTATTTGTTGTGTTTCACTTGATGGAGAGAAAGCGTTTTACGTCACAGAAATATTTATTAATAGAATACACGAGTATGTTTCAATATTATTTGCGACAATGAGTTTTTAAGTATTTTGTGTAAGGGTGTAAGAAAGTCCAGAACACTACATGAACACTTACACAATTGCGCAATGCGAATTGTGAAAAATTAATTTCCTTTCAAATTTTTCCTTTATCAAAACCTAGTTACAAAGTCGTATCATAAAGGGGGTCCATATTCATACCCAGACAAGGACAATTTAACGTATTGATGATGCATATTACTGTGCATGTCTCACTTAAAGGGAAACTTTTATACATATTTATTTATTTGCAAACCGAATACCAAGTTCGTGAAAGTTGTCGTTCTGAGAACAAGTATCGCACTGTTCATGACTTAAACGAGCAGTCTTGCAAATAGCTCTCTCTACGTAAAGAAACCCGGCACTTTCAGAGCAAGATATGGCTTTTTACGGACGATTGTCGAATAAAAAGGCGAGAGAGATGTCGGTTACCCAGCTGATGATTAAAACAATACTCTATTGTGTTTTTTCCGCACCAAGGTAATGGGTTGGTACCTGGCTCGGAGCGTGACATGCACGTTCTGCGACCCGCGTTGTATAATGAGGTAGCAAAAAGTGAGCCTTCTGTTTGTTCTTGGCCGCTGCGCTAAAACATACGCTTCCAGCTTAGAGATACTTTCTGGTGGTCATCAGAGCGAAAGGAGAGATTAATCGCAAAATTGAGTGCTTGCGTAATCCAACGATTGTGGAGCATAACGTTAGTTTTTATTTGCGCTGTATGTAATATACATAACGTAAATAATGTTAATATGTCAAAATATGTTTCGGATACGCTTTTTACTTGTTATATATGTTCGTTTGTTTTAAACATACGGTATGTAGTGTAAAACATAATACTACGTGCTTCAACTATTTCTACTGCAGCTACATCTACTCCCAACACCATACTTCCACGCCCTTTACACACTACAGATTACATAGTTTTTCTACATTATTGTGCTCTAGAGAATGGTAATTATTACATACATTTGTAACTAATTTTACAATTCAGAAAATACTGGGGGTATGAGAGGGAGCGAATAATTCAAAACAAAATCCTACCTGGAAGAGAAAATAGTAATAGGGAGAAGGGGCTTCGAGTTTAATAGGGTGCCTGTGCCAGCATTATAGAGGAAATGGCGATTTGAGAAAATTCACGAGTATTCCATTTAAGAAGATTCTAGAGGAAGCGTTTGTTTTTGGAATGTGCTTTCTCTGTGCGTTTTATTTGAGCTTTCGCGGCTCAGCGCCCTTCCAGGCGGGAGCTGCGAAGGACAAGCTCAGAGCTGGCGCCGTCGCCGCTTTCTCGCTGTCATCCTCAGGGCGTGGGCCCCAGGCGCAGAAAAGGCTTTCTCGAGGACGTGCTTTGCTCGCTGTTCAAACTTTGAAAGCGAACGCTTATTTGTATGCAAACGTTGGCACGGCAAGAAATTAAGATTTGATGGGTCACTTTTCTATTGAAACGCATGTCATTCGGTCAAATGAACGTGTGCTTACTCATATAACATTAGCCTAATAAAGCACCTCTCTTATTCGCTTTGAGGGATGGGAAAAGTGGGTGAGTGTGCGATGAACTTGCATTTACTGATGTTTTCTGTAAACAAAGTACATTGAATGGAGGAAATGTCTACATCCCAAGCGCAGTGAGTTTCAATATTTCACACTTGACATCTGGTGCATTTTCCGATGACGCCAACACTTCTTTCTACGTGCTACCCACAACCCGTCAGCACTACAGCAGTATTTGCACCGCAGGTAGGAAGATGAAATTCAGGTATTTGGTAATTTGGAATGATACAGGGTGAAACTTTAGCAGGTTAAAGTAGAACTGCCAAGACTCGTTTTCTCAAGGGACACTGTTGGTATTGCGCATCACATAAATTCTAACCTCTGAAAGCGGTTGTAAAAGTCAGAAGGTTGATGAAAGTTCTGATATCTACACATAAACTGTGTTGGGAAGGATACTAAATATTTTTTCTTACAAATGCCAAATCAGAACTACATTTCATTGATAAGACGATGGAATGCGGTTGTCTTAAAATAGTATACATCAGTACCAGGATTCGTTTTATAAGAACACGTTTTTCAAAATGCAATATCGGAATGTAATATGTAATAGGGAATAATTTTTATTTGTCTCTGATTTACATTTAAGATATTGCCTAATAAATTTTAAGAAATAAGTTAAGAAGAACTGTGACATACTCGTACGTGGTTGAACGAACGTATGAGTGGTAAATTAAACTATGTGTAGCGTTTGAAATTTCCGAGTGAGCCAACGGAGAGCAGAGGGCTGTGTGGGGGAGGGCGCAGGAGGGCGGAGGGTGGAGGAGGCGCGTGCGGTTAGTGGCGGTGCGTCTACGGCGGTGGGCGCGGCGTGGGCGGCCGCTACCTGTTCGGCGGGCGCGGGGCGGAGGCGGGCCGCCTCCACGGTGGCCGCCACGTGCTGGCTCTGGCGCTGCTGCTGCTTGAACTGCGTTTGCTCCTTGGACAGCGCGGCGGCCGACGCCTTCTTGAGCGGCGCGTGCTTCTTCTTAGGCGCCGGCCCCGCGGCCGCCTTGAGGGTGCTCTTCTCCTGCGCGGGCCGGTACTTCTTGGGGTAGGGCGCGGGCGCGGCGGGCTTGTGGTTGGGGGGCGGCTTGGGCGGGGCGTCGGGGGCGGCGTCGGTGCGGGCAGCCGCCGCCGGCCAGCGGACGCGGGCAGGACACGACGGGCTGCGCCGCGGTGAACGCGGCCGGGCGGCGCGCGGCGGAGGTCGCCGGCGCTGGGCGCTGGGGCGGCAGGAAGGCGTGCGCGAAGCGAACGGCCTCGGCGGCGGGGGACGGGAGGCGCGGCGGCGAGCTGCGGCGGCGTAGTCCGGAGGGCGTGCGGCGCGGAGGCGGGGGGCTGCCAGACCTGCGAGGGGTAGGAGGCGGGGCGCGCAGCAGCCCCACGCCGGCGGGCGCCTCCGCGGGCTGGCGCGCTCGGCCTCGTGCAGGCCGGTGGTGGCGGGCGGCGCAGCTCCGGCGCGGGCACGTGCTCGGCGGCCGCCGCCGCCGGCTCGCGCCCGCGACTCGCACCGCTCTTCCGGCGCCGTCCCGGCCGCTCGCGTCGCCCTCGGCCTCCGCCTCCGCCTCCGCGCCCGCGTCCGCGCCCGGACCGCCCGCCGACACGCTCTTGAAGTAGCTGTGCAGGTTGGAGAACGGGAACAGCTGCGCGCGCGCGGGCGCCGCCAGCGCCGCCGCTAACACCACCTGCCAACACACACACCACCCACGCATGAGAGGGCGCCCGATGTTGCCTGGCACACACGCAATTTCCTATCGCCGATACTATGTTAATGAGGATTCCTTTACATTACTTCCAATGGTCGTACATAAACGGCGTCAATACTACACTAGGAAACAAGCCTTGACTACCTCATTTGTATTTTATAAATTCACATGCCGTTGTTTAGTCGGTGTATTGTCAACCCATTCCTATTCAAGCAATGATAAACTGAGGGAAAATGTATTTATTAATTGTAGTCGTTTGCAAACTCGAGCATACCTATACTAGATTATTACTGAATTTATTTATAACTGAAAATGGTAACAAAATCGAAAAAAATATTTCGGCAAATGTATTATAATTCTTGCGGTCTCTCTCACATTTGTTTAAATATCTGTTTTAATCGATTTCTGTGTATATATTTACTTCTGCGTGTTCATTAAACGTTTTTGATAAAAGAAAAGTTTGATGCTTTTTTTATGAAATCTCTTAGAATCCCTCCATTCATGAGTAGGCATGAGAAATTCAATGTATATTTCGAAAACTGTAGTTTGCAAAACACAATTGCTGTCATTTCGTATCAAAATTTAAAATACACTTCCTTTAGAAATATTAGCAAAGTTTCACGATGTTTACCAAACAATTGGTATGCACACGTTTTTACAATATTCGTAGAAAGTAATGAAACAATGTTATGAATATGTCATTTTATAGTCCCGAGAACCTATTATAAGCTTCATAATACAAAAGTAAACTTTACAATCCTTCGGCTACTTTTCATTCAGGAATCGAGTTGTGGATGTTCAGTAAAACCGCAACAGCTGAATAGTGGTCAATTGGCTGAATAAATTCTCGACACGGAGCTAATCATACGAAACAAATCTTCTCATTCGGTTAAGCAGATTCTGATGAACCATTCAATCCTATT